TGATTGGACCCTTTTACGTGGTTTTGAAGTTGTCAATAGATGGATTGGTAATCATGATTATAAAGCAAGTGATCACAAATATTTAATGGTAGAAATCAAGTTTGATGATTTACAAAGTATGTTGAATGGTAAAGATAAAGAGATTTGGAAAAAAAGAAGAATTTATTGGGATAAAATGACCGGGGACCACAATGGATTTGGAAGAATCGTAAAGTTGATGAGCTTTGTTGGAATTATTTCTATTGGAGTTTTGACTATGAGATTGATGAAAAAATGATGATTTATACTATAGATTTTTTTTTTTGTAGTACAAAAACTTTGGATTTATTAATTTATTTCTTGATGTTTGTTGATCAAATACATTTAAACATTTATTTAAATAAAGATATTTATTTTTATTTAATTTTTGATTCTTGTAGAATTTAAATTGCGATCACGTATTTTTAGAGGCCTTCGACACGATATATAGTCTAATAAATCCATTAGCCTTTGGGTGCCAATTGTTTGCAACTCATAATTTCATTAAGTACTTACTCTCTAAAATCGAAATAATCGTTTGTTAGTTTTGTATATACTATAGATTAAGGTAAGGTCATAATTAACATCCATTAGGACATTGCATGTGATCAAATGCATATAACGAAGTTGTCAACTGGAGTAACCGGACCTTAAGAAATGCTTTGCGATACGCGTCACATTTGTGTTTATTGCATTGTACAATAACTATATAAAGACACAGAAATGTTGCACGTATCGTCGTGAAATTCAAATGAATCAAATTTGTTATCTAATCAATTCACGCTTTACGTCCTTTGGATTATTGATTTAGAGAATCCGAATTTTTGGATCATTGATAGGGTAACCTTCAAACGTTAATCTATTACGGTCTTAAAACATAAATGGTCCAATCAGCTAAAAATTCGTTGAATATGGTGACACAATTATTGTTCGCGTCAATAACGAATTACTGATATCGCTCAAGACCTTACAATCTCTTTTGTCCAAAAAAAAAATCGTATTTTATATTTAATGGGTAATTTATTTAAATGATTATGATGATTTACAAAATTTTAATAACAAATGAAACGTGTACAAGAATTAATAAGTTAAAAAGAAAAAAAAAAAAGAAAAGGTTCTTTTATAACTAATCACTTCATTTATCAACATGAAGTTCCAATCTCAACAACGTATAATCGTCTAAAGCTTCACCTTTTATTTTCTGCCAAATTTCATCGTTATTTATTGGAATCCAATCATTTCTACCAATCATGTAACTAAGAGTTGGCGATTTCTTTCCAAATCTACTCTCGATAACAATCAATACTCTATGAAATGGGGTATTAATAGGAAACGCAACTGCTCGGCGTTCATGTGGGAAAACGAATGTTACATAAATCTGTAAAATAAATAAATAAAAAGTTATTAAAAAAAAGAAAATATTGGATTGGATAAATCATTCATTAACTTTATAACTTACCTTTAATCCATCATCACTGATAGCTTCATTACGAATTCCATGTTTCATAAAGTATAATCTTTCGATACGTAATTCTAGTGATGATAGAACGGAAGGCTTTGAAGAATGAGGAATTAACAATAAAGATTGTGCACCACCAAATTTGTTATTAGATGGATCATAGATCATTGGAGTAGGATCAAGTAGATATGGAAATCCCCCAAGATGATGATTAAACTAAAGAAAAAAAAAAAAAATAGAGCATAAAGTGAAACGGTGATTTAAATTTAATAACAGAAAAAAAGTGAGAGAGAGAGAAAGAGAGAGAAGAATTTACAGAATGTTGATAACCTTTCTTCAGTTTTATAATAATTTTTCCGTCATACGTACGAAAGCCAGTAATTTCGCTTAATGGGATTGCTGCTTCATGTTGCATTTTGTTAAAACAAATTGACACCACATCCTGGTCGCAACGATAAAGAAATGCCATATCTCCAGCTTCAGTAGCCTTGATAGAACTTTGATTTTTTGAAGGGTATACGAATTGACATTGAATGAGATCAATTTTAATCAAATAATCTTGAATTTCTGGATCTAAACTTTTTTTTCGTGTATTTTCAATAGGAATATAACCAAGGTTGAATTCTTTATTTTTAGATGATTCGAAATTAGAAAAAAGAGTAGAATTTGACGAAGAGCTGCCATTTTGATCAACAGGATTTATCATTGAAATTAAATCCACTGTATTATCTTTATTTTCATTCTTTCGAGTAACATAAGTCGCTTTTGATGAATAGTTTAAATCGTTTGTTGTTATAAAACTCAATGAACTTAATGAATGGTTCGGATCGTTGGTTGTTATTAAACTATCTAGTCGTAAATCATCGCTATCGAAATCGTAATCATATTGTTGTGTAGTTGATGGATTATCTTTTTTTTTTTTTTTTTTTTTTTTTTTTTTTTTTTAATATATATGTATGTTATTAGCAAAAATAAAAAAGTAATCTATTTTATAATTATATTTTTTTTTGTTTTATTCGTTTTTTTTAAGAAAAATAATTTAGACTTACTGTAAAAATAAACCTCGCTAGATTCACCGAATTCATCTTGATCTTGATGATTCATTATAAATCTATAAATCTATAAATATATATATAATTTTTTTTTTTTTTTCCTCCTTTTTTATCCTTTAAGGATAAAGGTAGAACAGAAAGTAAATAGGAAACAATGACAGGATTTTTATAGTTGTTGATCCATTCATTATTGAAATCACATGAATTAAGGTTTAATCACATGATTGATCAACCCGGTTGGTCGCGTCGCAGATTCTAACAATCACATCAATGAATTTTTCGAAGATACAAGAAATTAGAAAGAATGCCTGTCTATTATTCTATGAATCAAAAAAAAAAAATAAAATAAAATAAAATAAATAAAATAAAAAAATTTTATTGGTGTTTTCCTTTTTCTTTAATTTGGCGGGAAAATATGGTCCAATCACGTATAAGGAATCATTAAATAATCTTTAGGGGCAGGGATTTTAAAAATTTTGTTAAACAATTTTATTTATTACATCAATAACAACAAAATTCAGGGGAACTATGATGATTGTTTATGGCAATTTTTAATTTTGTGAAATGAGAGAATTACAAATCACCATCATTCCCTTACAAATTTACGAAAAAATAATTTCTTTTCCAACGAATTATTCTCTAGATCGGAACCTCTCCCTCCCTAATTCTAAATTTTTCCTGGTCAAGAATATTAGTTGTTTTCTTTTGATTAAAACGAGTGACTTTTGACCAACATTAGAACAACAATTGGAACTTCGTTTATAAAAAATAAAATGTAATTGTTTCTTATTTTAAGCAAATCATTGATTAATTCTTTTTTTTTTTTTAGATATATACATAACATATGTTTTATACTAAAAATATGCAATGACGCAATAACACCGCAAAGAATGTATTGATCACTTAAAATAAGCTTGAAACAAGATATTCTTTGTCTTTAGTTATACGATTTTAGTTTTGATTGTAGCTTTATACGGACATACTTTAATTAATTTAAACAAAATGCTCAAGAGGATTGAAAAATTTCATTTAAATAGATATGTCTTTGAAGGTTGACCCTGTAGTAGAATCTCCTCACTTTTAAACCTTTGTTTTGTTTTATTTTAATACCAAGTCGCTTGTTCTCTTTTACTCCTCAAGCTTTATTTCTTGCGCGTTATTTCTTTACTTTTCTTTTGATCTTCTCTTGAATTAAAGTGCTTCTCCCGGAAGGAAACCTATTTTGACTTTTTTGTGGGAATTAATACTAGG